TGGCATCTCGATTCAAGCCATCATTGGCTTACAGCACCATGGGGTGGAGTTACAGTGCCCACAGAAGAGAGAGGTAAGAAGCCATCTTGGAAGCAGCACAGGGAAAGTACAGAAAGTATAAAGATTTGGCCCCTGCCAAATGTAAGTGTAGCCAGGAAAGCCCAGGTGAGACAAGGGTAGGGGGATAGTTCTTACACAGAGCATTGTAGTGCCTATCTATATTAGTTTTAATAGCTCATGCGCAACTTACTCACCATCTTCTCATACGTGCCCAGTCACTGCAGCTGAGACCTGAGACACTCATGCTATGGCTAGTTGAGAAGTTTTTGAACTGCAGGACTGGGGCTGTGACTTTGAGGACTGATTTGATTCTGATTTCAATCTGTTTTAATCTGTAATGATTGTTGATTCTTTTAACCATGTTAGATACTTCTTGGCTCCATATTACCAGTGCAGATCAATTATATTGCCAACTGCAAATGTAATAAGGAGTCTATCAGTATTCTTCTGCTTTAACCATGTGCACACTGTGTTCTAAGAGCTAATACTGAGTCAGGATTATCTGACATGGTAGGAGTCCATCAGTATCTGTACTGAGTATTTGATACTTTAACCATGTGCGCACTGGTTAAAGTATCAAGCTAGCTGACATGTTTCATAACAGCAGAATTATTTAATAGTTTAATAGTAAGCTTAAATTATCATAGCAGGAGCTCTGCTGAAGATGTTATCATGAGAGAGAGCGAAGAGAGGGATCGGAAAATAGACTGAAAGAGAGCTGGAGCATTATTCAGAGACGTACTGTGTGGAGATCTCTATATTGCAGCTCTGTAGAATCCATCACAGTGATCCTGACTGTGTTGGATATTTGTTATCTTCCTATTGTGCCCAGCTATGTGTGTTATCTATCTGTGTTTTCCTCATCTCTACCTGTTGTATGGGTATCTCTGTAGTCTACCCAGCACTATGTATTATATAGATATCTTTGTATTGTGTGCAACTCTGTGTAATATATCTCTATTTTTTCTCTAATCTGATTGTGGTATGGTTATCCCTATATTGTATTTAGCTCCATGTATTTTATTGATATCTTTATGATGTGCCCAGCTTGTTTTATTGTATTAGAATTTCTGTGTTCGGTTAAGCTCTCTGTATTGTAAGTATTTCTGTACTTCTGTACTGTATAGGGCAGCGGTTCCCAAACTGTGTGCTGGGGCACCATGTCAGGCACACAGGGGAGCCGCAAGTTATTTTCCCACTGTGCTCTCCCCTGCCGGCTCTGCAGATCAGAGATCTCCCTCTCCGGCCCACTAGCACTTTGTTGACAGCCGGCAGGGGAAGGAGAGAGAGAGGATATGGGGCAGCTCCACCGGGTTCTCATCTCGCGAGCTCGAAAAGTTGCCGCGGTTACCACGGCAACGCTCCAAATCTTCCAAATCTTCTGAGGCTGCTAGAGTTCACGCTCACCACTGGAACCACCAGGGACTTCAGGAAATGTCAAAGGTAAGCAGGGAGGGGGAAAATCATTTTTAATAAAAAAAAAATATATATATATATATACATTAATTTGTTCTCCTACCCCCACAGACCCCACACCACACAAAATCTCCCCAATACACACACACTGCCCCTCCATACACACACACAGCCCCCCAAAGTCTGGGAACCACTGGTATAGGGTATAGTACAGAAAATAGTAACATTCTGGGGATGGGGTCTGGCGCAACACCATCTTAAAATCTTTAGTTGCTGGAGATATTTCTGATTTAAAGTAACTCTAAACACCATAACCACTACCTTTAAAAGCTAAACATACACGCTCACATTTTAACAATGAAATACACAATTGTGATGGTTATGTTACAGGTTCATTTTCACATTTAGTTTTGTGTTTTTTTTAACACGAATAAATAAAACTGTAATGTAAGTGCAAACCGTATACACTAAAAAAAAAGAAAACTTGCAAGATTTAAACTGCTTGCTATTAAAATGACAGCTTGTAAAATGGTTTGAATATAGCTTGCCTTAATGTACAGCTGGTTTCAAGAAATGTTATGACATTTTCTTTGCAACGAGCTTAACTATTTCAGAGCGGTGAACAATCCTTTTAACATTGCCTCTTTTTATATTCTCTCTGCCAGCAAAGGTTGGAAGGTGGATATTTTATGTGGGCTTACTCATGGTTATTCTGTCTGGAGAAGGGGAGAAGATAAAAATAGTTGGTTATTTTTCTTTTTAAAGAAATGATCTCCACAAATAATTTGGATTGATGACCCCAAGAAAATGTGTTACATCTCCTTGCACCAGTTATTTTATTAGGTGCAGTTGCAATCTGAGGATTTATATGAATAAAAATAGCAAAATGAGTTTACTAGCAACAGGATCTTCTTTCAGATCCCTGAGGTAGCTGAGTTAGTAAGATGCATGTAAACTAATTGTGCTATCTTGTGTGATAACAATGCTTTTGAGTGTGATTACCACAGTGCATTTCGTTCATCATTAACATGTCAATACTTTCTCCTTTAGGAAAGCAGTGCATGGGTTTGGTAGACCTGGATCGATCATGGGCAGCAGAGCAGTTTGGATACAAAGTAACTGTTATCTCCATGGAGCCAGAAACCTGCTCTCCAAAGAACAACTTGATTGTGGGTTCTCCCAATTCAGTCCAACATGTGTAATTTTATATCTGTGGTGTGGAGATGATCAGAGGAGAGATATCTCTGGGTATCATCGGCATACAGGTGGAAGCGGAATCCAAATGACTTAATAAGTTTGCGAAGAGAGGTAGAATACAAAGAAGACAAAAGCAGACCAAGAACAGAGCCTTGAGGTACTCCAACCGAGACAGGACAAACGGAGGAGGTGTTATAAGAAAAGGAGACACTGCATGAATGCTGGGAGAGATAGGAGGAGAACCACAAGAGTCACAGTTTATTGTTAAATTTCCTCCTTTTAAAAATGTGTATTGCTATATGAAAGCTAAAAATAATAGGTTAATAATAGAGACAGGTCAGATCTTTAGAAGCAGTTTGAAGATGTTTGTTCTGTCTGTTGATTACCAGTTTGGCATCTACACACTGTGCCATCTACTCATTGCTTAGGAGGCTTATAAAATATGATAGTAATGGGAAGATATCTGTATCATGAATTTTATTTTATAGGTATTTATTATTACATTTACTTTTTTTCCAGTTGTCTCTGCTATTAAAATCTATTAAAGTTCACTCTGCCTTGCAGCACAGTCATTTTTTCTCCTCTTGCCCTCTTTCCTTTCCCTAATGCCGTGGTTTAAATTTCAGCATTCTTCTTTTGTACATCGGATTTGGTATATCTTTCTGTATGGTATTGCCGTATGATGCTTTCCATAAATTTAAAAAAAAAATGTATTTAATTTTTAATACACATTAATACCATTTTTCAAAAACTACGTGTGATATTTTTTCATTTTTGAATGTGAAAATTAATTTGAAAAGTGTTTTTAATACATATCAATTCACATTGTTCACCCAATCCAATGTTGTAGGATTTAGAGTTCTATAAAACCTTACATTTTTTTTATTTTTTTTCATATGCAAGTAAATGTACAAACAATGTTATACTCATTTATATTATCACACGGTGCATGGACTAATTTCACTTGTGTGTTCCCAACAAAAACAGCAACCCGGTTAGCATGCTGGATGATTCAGTGCTCTGGTTAATGGCAGCTAAAGGAGATGGATTCTAGGTAAGGGAACATAGCAAAGGTTATTGGCAGCATCATATAAGGCGACTATTTTATAATTAAGCACAAATAGGCTGTGCTTATGTTGCATAGCTGCATTTTTGTGACAATTTACACAGGAGACTGCCTATCTCCATGATCTATGAATTTTGGTGCAAACCAGTCTGTTCACCTCTTGAGAAGTATATTGCTGGATAATTTTCAAAGTACTGGTTGGTAATCTGAAACAGTGGTAGGACAGAAGCTTCTAAATGTCACTTTTACTGGAAGACCTAATAGAAAGATATAATAGACAAATTAACAAATTAGATTTTAACAAATTGTCACATGGGAATCTCATCCTAATGCTAATACCTATAAGTTAATGACTTACTTTGAGGTAAATTGAGGCACTGGTAGCCTATTGGTAGCCTATTGACTATTTCTCCTTCATGTTGATTGGCTATTGGCAATCAAATTCAACGTTTTATAGATCTATTGGAAAATATGGCTTATAGTGACACAAGCAACCGCTAAAGCAAAAAAATGTTTGTTTTAATCAGTTTTCAATTTATTTATTTTTAGACTTATACTTCTTGCAAGTGCATGTGAATCATCTCCCCATTTCAGTATAATTATATATAGATAAAACGTTGTGTGTGTGTGTGTATATATATATATTATTTTCTTTATCATCTGCAAAGTTCCAACGAAAGCTCAACAAAGAGATGAATAGGTGGGATCTGACCTCAAGCGAACTTTCTTTGTATGCAGATTTGCATTATGTCATTGGTAGGTCTGTTAAATGATGTAAGGGTATTAATAATCTATGGCTTTTTGCCACTGCATGATGAAATAAATAGCTCTGGGCTGCACTTGTCTGTGCTTTAGGACAATATCCACACCCACCCTCTATACCTCATAACAGAGTTGGGAGCCAGGGTATATAAGTACCTGTCAGATTTCCAATTCTGTTGACAGTAAATCATAATGCCTCATCTCATGCTTATGAGAATACTTGCTGGCTAGATCTTTATCAGTAGTTGCACAAAGATTGAATATTAATAGTCTGCATAAGTAATTAGTTTTACTGACTTGATGACTAATGTCCTTATCATAGTAGACGCTTAGAACATTAAATGTTTAAACTTGTATTCAAATGTTTTATTAAAGCGCATATGTAGAAATATATATATATATATAGGTAAATGTAACAGGGGCGGTAGAGGGATCGGAACCCCTTTCCAGACACTAACTACGCCTGTCATTACATACCGACAGGTAACGTCCCCGAGTTCCAAGTGCCCAGGAATCCCAGAGAAGGTTCCCTGGCAAGAGTCCAAGGCACCAACTTCAGTTTCTCTTCCACCACCAGGGGATGTGGATTGCCTTGGAGATCAAAGAGAAAGTCCGGAAATAGCTGGGAGGAGGAGAGGTCCTGACATGACAAATCTAGACTATGCCTGGCCCTTCCAAAGCAGAGCTAACAGGACAGGGAGCCCAGCTGAAGATGGACCTGACACAGAACCCTAGAGATCTAGGCGAATGGAGGGGAAAGCACAAGCAGTGCACGTCAGGTTTGGAAATCAACTGAAGAACCTCAGGACCTGGTAATTCATCAGAGAGGAAAAGAGATCCAACACAAACTGGCTTCAGAATCGAGATGCAATGGAATATCGACCAGTGCAGCCTACAGTCGCTGGTAATTGGCCAAACTGCGAATATCAGATGAACCTGCAAATAATTCCAGACCATTTATATGTAAGGTTGCTTCCACAACTGTCCACAGCAAACCTGTAGAAGCGTCCACGCAAGTCACAGCCTAGCTAAAAGACTCACATCCGTCTCCACAACGAAGTCCAGAGTGGGTCTGAGTATCGCCTTACTATTCCAGGCACTCATGTGGAGTATCCACCAACGTAGTTCGATTCAGATCTCTGAGGTGAGAGGGACTGGCTGATTGACTGTGTCTCATGAAAAAAAAACTGGCTTTTAAACACTGCATGGCCTGTTAAAGAAGGGGTCCCAGATAAATTATCTGAATAGAGGTGGAAAGGAGACCCATTATCCAAGCCTAAAAGACGAAGAGGAATCTGGTTGTGTCACAGAACTCTTGTTATCTCTTTTTATATCAATGGGATCTTGGACTGGTGAAGGTGCAGGATGCAATCAGAGGCGTCTATTTCAAAAGCCAGGACTTGCATGATGTGAGAGATGATTTCTCTCTGTTCACTACAAAGACCAGGGATTTGAACAAGCATATTACACAGCGCAACTGCAGTCTGGAGGCTTTGTTGCAAAAGAGCAACAAGTCTGACCTTTCCAGCAAAAGTATAGAAAACGATGACTATAAGCCATTCATCAAGGATCGACAATGGTGGTGGAGGCAAAGTGTCATCTTCATCACTCGAACAATGGGCCAATGTGGTGTGCATCTCCTTCATGTTCAAACTCTGAGGGTATTTGGCCAGAGCTTTGACCTTTTTGTTGTGTGGTTTGGGCCCATCAATCTTCCAATATCTCTTGGCAGCATGAGCAGGTTCCCTAACTGAAGTGTGCTAATCTACTGAGTCCTCCACTGAACATGGAGTCACCAGTGGGGCCGTGTTTCTAGGCAGCTGAGGGATGACTTTATAGCAAAAAAAAATCCCCCGAAATGTAAGACTTGGCTTGAAAGAGTGAAAGATATCTGCCAATTTGAAGAATGCACAACTCTGCTTAAAAGCCGTTCTACTCGTCACAGGAGGTATGGCGGACCTGTAAAATCTACCTATGTAATAATGAGGATGGGATTGGAGAAGACATGGGAAAAGTGGGGCCTGTGCCTCCGGAGTAATAACCTGAGCGTTTACGTGCCATCCTACTTCAATCCTAACCCTCTTGACCTGTATGCCCACCTGTTATTCCCTTTCCTACTCCCTACCACAGGGTTTTGTACCTCCTCTCTTTTGCAATTCTTCATTTCTCATTATAAGTTGCATTTTAAGTTAAATTTGGGGAAACCATTTGAACCCTTTGTGAAGAAAGTCCCCTCTTTTGTTGTAAACTGACAATTTGTATTCCCTTCTTTTATGTTAGCTTTCCCTATGGCGTTCAGTAGGTGAAACTACCGAATCGAGACCACCCTGTTGCCCATTATGAATACTTTACCTCCCTGCTTGCTGGGCATGTTCGACAAAAGTTCTGCACGAACGGTATGCACTGCCGCCATTTCGGGACTTCCACTTGTTCGCTGCCATTTTAGCTCCCGAACAGCGGTGTTTGCCGTCGAGTGTCTGGAACTGAAAACGGACACTCAAATAGGCGAACACCACTGAATCCTCCATACCTTCGGTAAAACCCCATTAAAACTACCGGGCGTTCGGTAGAAAGACTCACTGACAGATGGGGAATCAAGCGAACCAAGGATGATAGCTGGATGGCTGGCTGTTCGGGAGGTTTTTCATGCGACCTAAGACCGACTGCAGGGCCAGAATTCATGGAACTGTTTTCGGCTACTTTACCCGTGCAGTCGGTCAAAACTTCTAAGTCCCATATCTCCCGAACGGATGAACCGAATGGACTGATTTTTTTCATATGTTGGTCCCCCAGAGTCCTTGGGGTACATCCAGACTTTAGGGAAATTATGTTCCGTTTTAATTATGTTAAATGGTTATGTGAGGGGAGGAGATGCACAGTATGTATATTGTTGTGATTGGTTGTACAGTTAATTATATAGGAGGCTCCCTTGCATGGGCAGAATCCCATAAAAAGAGAATGCCTGTCAATAAATCCTTAGTTCATCTTTGTACCCTTCTTCTGACTACGTATGCTGTTTGGGAGTTTGTGTGTTTTACTGAGGGAATTATCCAGGGACACTATTGGAATTACACTGGGATTTGTCTACCATAACTACCGAACGGAGGGCTATATTCACTGGGCTCTGGCGGTTCGGGAGAAAACTACCGATTGAGGTTTAAATGTACTTGGTTTCCTTACAACTGGTGGCAAGCGGCGGGATTCGAATCCCAAACCGACGTTTTAAACAAGCAAAGGAATGAATGGCTCAGCAGTACCAACAGCTTAAGAGACCCACGCTAAAGGATTTACTGGAAGCTCGAGGCGTAATAGCAAGCAACAAAACAAAAGCCACGTTAATTGCAGAGCTGTTACAGAGCGACAGAACCAGCACTACAGAAATGGAGCGTGAGGAAGAAACTGAAATGCAGAAAGACATCAGATGGATGCTCAGTTTATTGGGACCTAACCCAGCAACAGAGGCGGTTCTGCAGGTCATGGCACAAGCCAGGCAATCGCAGAAGGAGCGAGATGACCGTGACAGACCGCTACAGGGGGATTTTCTGCACTCCCCGGGAAGTACAAATGACCTACCAAAGAAGGTAAATTATGCTGCATTTAAAAACTTTAATGACAATGAAATGGAGATTGATAGTTGTCTGCAGGACTTTGAAAGGCAATGTGCACTGGAGGGATTAGACTCCACCAAATGGGCTGCAGTAATGAGCAGCAAGTTGTCAGGCAGAGCATCAGAAGCGGCACGAGCAGTACCTGATGAGGATATTCATAATTATGGGAAAATAAAAGACATTTTGTTGGCTAGATATGCAGTTACCCCTGAGGCATACAGGAAGAAATTCAGGGAACTGAGGAAAACAGGGAGGGATACCCATACTGAATGGGCATTCCGGCTACACAGGGCAGCCCGAAATTGGATGAAGGGCTGCCAAGAAAACACTCTGGAGGATGCCTTACAACTCCTCCTATTAGAACAATTGTTTAACCATACAGCAGATGACATTAAGGACTGGGTGAAAGACAGGAAGCCTAAAACTGTGGAGGAGGCAGCAAGACTGGCAGATGAATACCAGGATAACCGGAGGCGAGAACAAGGGGTGAGCTGACCTGCATTTAAACAGCCTTATTCAGCCCCAACAACGGCTGCACCACCTAGAGCCCCCCTGAGTAATCCGCCGCACAGCTCAGCAGCAGCACCATGACAACCTGCAGTGTGTCACTACTGCAAACAGCCAGGACACTATAAAAACCAGTGCCCACGTTTAAACCGGGGAAGCTGGGAAAGGTCGCCACCACAGTCACAACCCAGGGCCGCTGCTCATTGTGTACAGCAGGAGAGTACATCATGGTTACCTACCCACGAGGAACAATGGAGTGTGTTGCACAAAGTCAACCCTGTGCAAGCAGGAGGCAACAACCGGGACCACCACCGTCAGTGGATTAGAGTAGACGGGGTGGGGGCCCGCGCCTTAAGAGACTCTGGGGCCACGTTAACTGTGGTTCAACCTCACAATGTCAAGGCCCAAACTCACACGGGCCGCACTGTGGCAGTAAGGGTAGCCGGGGGTGCCATTCACAAACTACCTACGGCTAAAGTCCTTGTGGATTGGGGCTCAGGATCTAAACAATTGGAGGTTGGCATTATGCAGGAGCTACCAGCCGAAGTACTGTTGGGGAATGATGTGGGCTGTTTAACTTCCCAACTAGCCCGAGACACCGCGTCCGAAGCCTACCCGGTTACCACCCGAGCTCAAGCCAGACTGGAAGCACCGCCGCACTCTGAGGAAACCCAGGTAGGAGTTGAAATACCCCCTTTACCCGACCCCCCATTCCCCGTTCTGGGATACTCCCGAGGGGTTCGAGCAGGAACAAAGGACTGACCCCACTCTAGACGGGTATAGAAAAGCGGTAGGGAATAATAGGGGCGACAACCCACACGAAAGGTTTGAGTGGCACAAGGGACTGTTGTATAGGGTGACAGATGGGGCGGGACACGGGACCGCCCAGGTTACTAAGAGGCAGCTAGTAGTACCCCGCAAGTTTCGGGCAGAGTTATTAAGACTCAGCCATGATATCCCCCTAGCCGGACATTTAGGGGTTAAGAAAACTAGAGACCGGCTGACCCAAACCTTCTTCTGGCCCAGGGTCACTCAAGACCTCAAATACTACTGCAGGAGGAGAGGAGATGTACAGTATGTATATAACCTAGTCACTTATTTTAGATACATAGACGACCTCTTTTTTATTTGGGACGGATCAGAAAATCATCTTACTGAATTTATCAACCATTTAAATACCAATAATAGGGGTATTATTCTTACGTATGAATTTAGTAAAAAATCCATCAATTTTTTAGATCTTAGTATTTTTATTAATAAGGGACTACTCCAAACTAAAACTTTTTTTAAAAAAGTATGTGTAAATACAGCCATAGAAAAATCTAGTTGCCACTACAAACCCTGGCTTGAGAGCGCACCAAAAAGCCAATTTTTACGTCTTCGTAGAAATTGTTCAGAACTTTCAGATTTTAATGAGCAAGCAGAGTTTTTATCAATAAAGTGGTAGAGATACAGTAAAGAAAGTGTGTGTGACAGCTGAAACAGCCGAAAAACCACCTAAGTGGGAACCCCTTATACCACTTAAAAACAATACAATGAATACATACAATAGGTGGTACACACATCCAACGTTCCTACAAAAGGAAACAAAATATCATAGTGTAATATTGTCAAACAGAACTGTAATAATGAATGATGAAGCAATACTACTCACAAGCCCAGAGCCAATATGACATATGGCTCTAATGTATAGCGCACTGGGACTTTTAAACAGGTGTCCCCATCCTTCTTCTTAGGCTTTCTTGAATAGTGTGCTGAAGCAGATAATGATATTCCAAAGTGTATTTCCAAAGGGAACTTTATTCACAAAAATATAATATAATAAAAATAGAGAGAAATGTTTTCTCTATAAAAAAGTCTGTAAATAGACTGAAATGTCTAAATAAAAAGTCTAATAGACAGACTGTATGTCCAAAACGCGTTTCGCCCTATGGTAGGGGCTTCCTCAGTTGGTATCAGTCGATATCTTTAGATGGGGGCTTTCTCAGCGTCTTTATAGTAGAGGTTTAGTTGTATTTTCCAATTTTGGCGGTTTCATCCGTGCGTGGAACGCATATGCGTTCCACCTGCGTCACTTCCGGTCCGTGTCTGTCCGTGAGTGGAACGCACATGCGTTCCACCTTCGTTGCTTCCGGTCTTTGTTTATTGGGCATACTGGGAGCAATGTTTGTCACTTCCGGTTCCTGTTAATCTCTGGGAACGTTGCTGGAACGCACAGTTCCTGGTCTGTGCGTTCCACTGCATATCCAGCAACAAACAGTCCTCAATGCAAGCCTCCATATACATACCACAAAAAATCTTCACCATTATTTCGAAAGTGCAAGATGTAAAAAATATATATGCAGTATCAAAAAGCATACAGCTTTAGATGTAATCTTATCATAAGTGCTTAAAGTGCCACAAGTTATTAAACAGTATATATGTGTAAAATGTGATATATGAAAGACCTAAAAGATGTCATCAATTAGTAAAACATATATAAGATATGTCAAAGAACGATATTAATAAAATTCCTATATAAAATGACATATCTCAAAATCTGAGTTGAGACCATATGGAATCAGGGTATTAAAATTGAAAATAAATTTCATCTCCTCTGCACCTATATTTTTAATATAGTCTCCACCTCTCCAATCTTTTCTAACTATTTTTAATGGACAGAAGAAAAGATGTTCTGGATTAGAATTGTGATGACTTTTAAAATGATTGGAGACACTGTGGGTTTCTAGGCCTTTTTTAATATTCCTGACATGTTCGGATATCCGAACATTCAGATTCCTAATAGTTCTGCCTATGTACAATAAGTTGCAAGGGCATTTCAACAAATAAATAACGCCTTTTGAAAAACAAGTTAATTGGTCTTTTATACTAAAATCCATATCTGTATATTCTTTTAAATTCTTTATATGTCTTTTGTGACTTCTTGTTGTTTTACATGCCAAACATGACCCACATCCAAAGAAACCTTTACTTTGATTTAAAAAATGTTTTATGTTTTTAGAGGGATTTTCACTGCTGTGAACTAATGATCTTTTTAAATTAGCTACACCTCTATAAATTATTTTAGGTTTTGTGGATAATAGATTCTTCAAAATAGGGTCCTTTTGTAGGATATACCAATGTTTATTTATAGCTCTATTAATATGTTTATTGTTTCCATTAAAATTACATATAAAGTGTGGTTCATTCTTGTTTGCATTAGAATTTCCTTGGTGTTGTTTGTAAGTCAATAACTGTTCTCTGGGGGTGTTTTGAATTTCTTCCATGGCTATAGATAATATATTTTTTTCGTAGCCCTTTTCTAAAAATTGGTTTCTTATAACATTTGCTTGGGTTATGTAATCCTGTTAATTCGTACAATTACGCCTTATTCTTAAGAACTGGCCTTTCGGGGCATTCTCTAGCCAGGGTTTGTAGTGGCAACTCTTTTTTTCTATATACCCATTCGCATCCACTGGTTTAAAAAAATTTTTTGTTTTAATTTGTTGATTTTCAATAAAAATATGAAGGTCTAAAAAATTAATATTAGTATGACTTTGTGCAGTGGTGAGAATAATTCCCCATTCATTTGATGATAAAAAGGTAAAAAACATATTTAAAAGATCTTGAGAACCATTCCATACTAAAAATATGTCGTCAATGTACCGTCTATAGGTCACCAAATTCGACACCCAGGGATGCTCCGAGAAGACAAAAGTCTCCTCCCAATATGCCATGAACAGATTGGCATAACTGGGTGCGAATTTGGTGCCCATAGCTGTACCCCTAATCTGAAGATAAAAAATATTCTGGAACCAAAAGAAGTTGTTGGTTAAAATCAGATGAATTCCTTCCAAAATAAAATCTCTCTGTTCTTGTTCAAAGTTGGCTTTAGTTAAGAAATGTTTAACTGCTTCTAAACCCACTTCATGTGGAATTATACTGTATAGTGATGTAACATCACTGGTCACCAATAAGTTGTTTTCTTCCCATGAAATGGTGTCTAAAAGTTGTAATATATGTATAGTATCTTTCAAATACGCAGGGTTTCTTACCACTATTGGTTGTAAAAGTAAATCTATATATTCAGATACTCTAGAAGAGATAGAATCTATTCCAGAGATGATAGGACGTCCTGGTGGATTTTTTAGATCTTTATGGACTTTGGGAAGATCATAAAAAACTGGGATCTTTGGATGAGAGATGGAAAGATATTTTCCTTCTTTTGTTGTTAATATGCCTTTATCTAGGCCCTTTTGGATATATTTATCAAACAAATTTTTCACTTTGTTTGTTGGGTCTGAATTTAGTTTTTTATAAGTGTTCTCATCTGAAAGGATTCTCTCGGACTCTTGTAAATATTGTGTTTTGGAGAGGATTACAATTCCTCCTCCTTTATCTGCTGGTTTGATAACCAGATTTTCGTTTTTCTGTATTTCTTTTAAAGTTTTTCGCTCTTTTACTGACATATTGTCCTGGTATTTATTTAACTTTTTTACTTTATCCATTTCTGCCATGACTATGGTTTCAAAGGCTTTCATTTCATTAGAGATCATATTTCTGGGGAAAAAATTGGACTTTTCTTTCAAATCTGTATGTATAAAATTAAATTCGGTTTCTTGATTTTGTTGTGTATGAGTTATATTTTCCTTATTATGAAAAAAATTTTTTAGAGATAGTTTTCTCAAAAATCTGTTCATATCAATGAACAATTCGAACTTATTTAATTCCTGTGTAGGCGCAAATTTAAGACCTTTTTTGAGGACCTTTAACTCCTCATTTGTCAGGATATGGTCAGTGAGATTAAAAATGCCGTCCGAATTTATTTCTTCCCTCTTTTTTCTTTGTTCCTTATCTCTTCTTCTTCTGTGTCGTAATCTGTTGATCTCTGGCGTTTGCCTGGGGATTCCCACGAAGGGGGTTTCTCTTGCCATTTGAGTCTCTCTTTGATTGGTTCCTTCCAAAAAACCGAAGAAGAAGATGCTTGTTGTGTGTTATGACCTTCTAATGTTTTTTCCATAATTTGTGATGATCGAGTCATATCATTCTGATAATTAGTTCCTCTATCCCTCCTTCTTTGTTCTCTACTGTAACTTATTTCGGGACGGGATTTTGGATAATTGTTTCCTATAATTACTGTATTTGTACTTCTTTTAAAAAATATGAAATCGGTGTAGCGCTCTATACATACATATAATATGGTTGAGCCTAATAGGATAGTCAGGCTTCCAAATGAGGGTAGTTCCAGTGTCTTATAAAGTCCACCTAAAATAGGCAAAGAGAACTCTAATAGTGTAACACTGTAAATTAAACTGATAGTAAGAGTCAAATGTAATAACAAACTCACATTCTTCTGAGCTTAATGCCAAGCTCAGGAATAAGTGCATATAGGTCCGTACAGGCGACCTTCCCCTTCTTCTTATTAGGTGTTTGTCTCAGATCGTCTCTAGGACTCAAATAAAACAGATATATAGTGTAGAATGTCTGTATACAGTATTACTATTTAAAGTATATAGTATACTCACAAAAATGGAGCCTCTATATCGGCTCTGTCTCTGCACGTTGAATAAAATGTAGAACTTTTCAAAGCAGGAACCAGGAAAAGCCCATATAGTATTTTAAAAAGTATAAATAATTTATTAAATTACAAGGGTATAAGGAACCCCCTATAGTAAATAAAAACGCCAAAATACCAAGCGCTGAAGAATTAAAAATAAACAAATAATAAACAAATGGGCATAACAATATCATACACTTCTTTCCAGAACGCGTTTCGCCGTAACTCCGACGGCTTCCTCAGCTGGATCCGATGACATCTGTTTTATTTGAGTCCTAGAGACGATCTGAGACAAACACCTAATAAGAAGAAGGGGAAGGTCGCCTGTACGGACCTATATGCACTTATTCCTGAGCTTGGCATTAAGCTCAGAAGAATGTGAGTTTGTTATTACATTTGACTCTTACTATCAGTTTAATTTACAGTGTTACACTATTAGAGTTCTCTTTGCCTATTTTAGGTGGACTTTATAAGACACTGGAACTACCCTCATTTGGAAGCCTGACTATCCTATTAGGCTCAACCATATTATATGTATGTATAGAGCGCTACACCGATTTCATATTTTTTACCTTTTTTCTAGATTGATGTAAATAAGAAAGATTGCATCTAGGTGTTACAGCAGCTTGGTCTAAATATAACTTTGTTGTTAGACTAAAGAGTGTTTAATTTAATGATAGCGCCAGTGTATTACTTGTATTTTTATTTGTACTTCTTTTAAGTTCAGAAGAAAATCTTTTTTCTTTTTCATTTTCATATTCCCTCTGTCTATATTGGGGCATCTTCTTGTGTCTATCTTGGCCAAATTGATACGGAGACCTGATGTCGTTTTTGTTTGAGCCATGTTTTACTACATCACTATAACTTCTGTTAGAGTGGTGTTTATTAAAGGGGTGTCTGTGTGTACGTATGGAGACTTGGGGTGAATCTTTCTCAATATATGGATTTCTTTTATACGTTTCTCTATGAGATGTAGGTTCTAATTTACCCCTATGTTGACTGTTAAAAGTTCGATATTTGTTCGGTGATCTTTGGTGTTCCTGTGCTTGCCGCTGTTTACTTTTATAGTTATATTTATCTGAATTTGACCTTTTAGGGAATCTTATATTTCCGGTCTTATAGTCATTAGTGTCTCTAAGATATTTTCTTTTTTTGATTTCAACAGTGTCCTTCTCTGCCTTTTCTACTTTAATTTTAATTTCTCTTATTATTTGATTGAACGTTTCAGGATTAGTTGTCTCACTAAGTTGCAATTTCCATAGATTAATTTCCTCGTCTATCTGTATTAAATTTTCCTCTCGCCTGGACACAATGTAACCTATCATGCTAAAGGAAAATCCTTCGAGGAGTTTGTTCCATCCTGTCATAAAGCAGGGATTTTCTCTATCAAAGGTAGGGTCTTTCTCAAACCTCAGCCCTCTAGGTGTAATCTGTTCTTTAACGTACTTTTTGAGAGTGGCTATTTCCCATTTAATTTTCATTTCACGTATTAAAGTTTTTTCTAAATTGTTTTTGCATTTGTTAGTGTCGATATAGTCCTTATCACTATTTTCATGGGCTATAGGAGCAAACATATGATCTATGTCATTAATAGTATAGTTCCTGTCTTCTAAATAAGACATAGTGGGAACACAAATATAGAGCAGTTATTATAGAACGCTATAAATCAATTCTTACTGTATATCAAAGGGGATTTAAACAAGTGTAAATCAATAAAGTGGTAGAGATACAGTAAAGAAAGTGTGTGTGACAGCTGAAACAGCCGAAAAACCACCTAAGTGGGAACCCCTTATACCACTTAAAAACAATACAATGAATACATACAATAGGTGGTACACACATCCAACGTTCCTACAAAAGGAAACAAAATATCATAGTATAATATTGTCAAACAGAACTGTAATAATGAATGATGAAGCAATACTACTCACAAGCCCAGAGCCAATATGACATATGGCTCTAATGTATAGCGCACTGGGACTTTTAAACAGGTGTCCCCATCCTTCTTCTTAGGCTTTCTTGAATAGTGTCCCCATCCTTCTTCTTAGGCTTTCTTGAATAGTGTCCCCATCCTTCTTCTTAGGCTTTCTTGAATAGTGTCCCCATCCTTCTTCTTAGGCTTTCTTGAATAGTGCAGAGTTTTTAAAAGACAAATTTATGGAAAAGAAATATTTAGAATCAGATTTAATTACCACAATTAATACAGTAAAACAAAAAGAAAGAAAAGAACTTCTGATGTATAAAAATAAAGAAAAAGACGAATCAATAGTACTCCCAGTGATTTTTAATTTCAACAATAAAAGTAATGATGTTAAAAAAATAATAAGAAAGCACTGGCATATACTTAAACACGACGAGATACTTAATCCCATCATACCCATCCATCCGAACATTGTTTTTAGAGGAGCACCAAATTTTAAATGCATTTTAACTACTAATTTTACTAAACAATCTCCCCAAAAAAATGTATCCTTTTTTCCTCAGACAAAATGTTTTTACAAATGTAAACAGTGTATTGTATGTAAAACCACAGATCATTCTACTCCATCTAAAGTCACAAATTTTATGTCTAACCAAACAAAAAGAGTGTACAATATTTATGATTTTATTTGTTGTAATACGAAAAATGTTATCTATCTGCTTGAGTGTCCATGTGGCCTCCAATATGTGGGGATGACCACAAGGTGCTTAAAGATAAGGTTAAGTGAACACTGCAGAAATATCAAAAATGGGTACTTAAACCATACAGTATCCAAACATTTTATTATACACAACAAAGATCCACGCCTACTAAAATGTATAGGTATAAAAAAATGTTCTACCTCCTGGCGTGGAGGTGATATAAAAAAGCTGCTTGGTAAAACAGAGATGGAATGGGTGTATAAACTCAAGACCCTTATACCCCATGGTCTTAATGCAGATTTTGATCTATACAATTTCTTATGAAAATAGATATAAAATGATGTCTGTATTTCTTATATTTTAAATGTTGCTTTTAATACCCTCTCTGATTATGCCAATATTTTTTAATATCATGTTTGCACTTAAGGTTTTATTGTTGTACCTTTTAAAGTATTCAAATTTTATTTTTTATTTTTTATAGTAGATTATTATTTATTTTTATATTTTTTTTTTAGTAAATTATTAGTCCTAATTATACTTCACATTAGGCACTTCTGTTTTACTTTATGCCCCACTATATTATCCTTCAGAAATTCTATTTTGTATTAATAATTAGCCTGTACTACATTTCCCATCAGGCACTTCGGCTCCAACTTCCGGTTTGCGGAAGTGCCGATTAATCTGTACATAGATTTAGGCATCATATTTAGTATTATATTAGTGCCTTTCCTTTTTCTATGTTTTAGGTTTCCCTAGGTTTCATGGGAACCATTGTGCCAATCTGGCACTATAGATTTTCATTTTATTATGCGCCCGCCGACCGCGGCCATTTTAAACTACATTTCCCATGTGGCATTGCGGCTAGACTTCCGAAAAGCGGAAGTGCCGCACGCCATGTGACTATTTTAAAACATATCAAACTACACTTTCCCACCCTCGTTTTTTAATTATAAATATCAGGAATGTGTTATAAAACAGCAGACAATGTACTGATAAAGGTATAATTATGTTTTAAAGTTTTTATATATGCTTTTATTTCTGATTGGACGGACCAATTTTGGCGCCAAATGTAAATTAGTTATGCTCCTATATAACATTATTAAGCCAGGTATTACATGTTATTCCATTTGAAAAAGTCTCTGACGAAACGCGTTATGGAAATTTAATTATTGTGTTCTTTTATATATTAAAGTATTTTTGGTTATTTGTTTGTACCAATAATCTTTTTTATAGACACATAATTTTCCGTTTTTATTACCCTGGCCTTTTTAATTATTTTATCCTTTTTTACTGGTTTTAAAAAAAACCTTGAGAATCCCTGGAAGCCTCCTGTACTTAAAGAAATCCTAGGTGGGGATCAATCCACCCAAGCTGTCATCACGGAGCAGTAAATCTGCTCCTGCTTTGTAAGTACATTCTTTTATTATTTTATCCATATTGCTATACAGTGATCACTATCGGCTGTTTCTTTTATTCCGAGAATTGGACACCTATCACAGAGAGGAACCCATTTAAATCCTACAAGCGGGGATTAAACCGCTGTATGCGCCTTAACCCAGAGCTAGGACAATAGCTCTGGCAAATGTGAGTTCTATATTATTATTCTTTTATGTTCACACCAGAATTTTATATACTACACTATTGGTCGCCCTTCTCTCTCCTCTTTTTTCTTTCATACAAGTGGAACCGCTACATTAAGAGAAGACGTCATTAGCAAAGACCATCTGTAAGGATAAAACATTGGGACTTTCCTTTACATTGGACTTTATTTCTACTTGTGTGCGCAGCCTTTCTCTTATTATTTTCATCCATCCAGTTCTAAAGGGTCTGAGGGATCCCCTTTTAAGGTTGCTGCCTATAAGTTATCTAGCGCTGTCTCATTTCCATTTTTTTGTTATGTATATTGTTATGATTGGTTGTACAGTTAATTATATGGGAGGCTCCCTTGCAGGGGCAGAATCCCATAAAAAGAGAATGCCTGTCAATAAATCCTTAGTTCATCTTTGTACCCTTCTTCTGACTACGTATGCTGTTTGGGAGTTCGTGTGTTTTACTGAGGGAATTATCCAGGGACACTATTGGAATTACACTGGGATTCGTCTACCATAACTACCGAACGGAGGGGTATATTCACTGGGCTCTGGCGGTTCGGGAGGAAACTACCGATTGAGGTTTAAATGTACTTGGTTTCCTTACACCCTTCTTGTTTTATTTCAGTTGCTTTTGTTTGATTTGTTCATAGCAAACAGCTGAAAATCTGTAAATGTTGACATTAAACCTGTTTTTTAAATTTTACAACTGTAAATTGTGATCTTTGTGTGTATGTGTTTATGTGCGTATGTTATCTTTGTGTTTATATATGATGTTTGTGTGCATGTGTGTTATCTGTATGTGTGTGTTATCCGTGTGTGTATGTGTCATTTATGTATTATTCCGTGTGTATCTCTGTGTCAGTGTGCGTGTGCAGGGCCGGACTGGGGATACGAAGCAGCCCTGGAAAAAAATCTATGCCAGCCCCATAAGTCATTGTGCTATGTAGGGTGTTTATATATATATATATATATATATATATATATATGCATATGCAATTTAAATCGTTGGCTACACTCTCGGATTTCGTGAAAATTTAACTTTTATTGAAATATTTAAGAGAAGATCAATGTTTCAGTCCCTCTTGTGGACTTTCGTCATGATCCTGATGCAAGTCCACAAGAGGGACTGAAACGTTGATCTTCTCTTAAATATTTCAATAAAAGTTAAATTTTAAGGAAATCCGAGAGTGCAGCCAACTATTTCAATTGCCTATATATATATACTGGATACTGGAGCCCTGGTGATGCAACAGTGTGTATATATATATATATATATGTATATGTTTTAAGGCCATTTGGCCTGTATTTGTGGGAGGGGCTTAAATTAATTCACTCCCCTATATAAGGGACACCCCTTACCTGACTCATATCGCTTGAGGTCAGCATCAGAATGATTTCCACTTCCGGGTCATCCAGACACCATTTTACCTGATTACTCCATGAGGTTTTCTAAGCTAAGCTAAGCTGAGCTGTGTCAGGAATTCAGCCACAGGCTTTTCCGGCCTTCCACATTCTTTCTTCAATCTATCGCTGTGGATGGTGTCCAAGTGACTCACAAACCGTAAGTCGACCTACCAGTTACGCCAGGCATCAGTCCCACGGCACCATGCACGGGTCAGGTCCTCACTTTACGGCTGCAATTTGTCTAAATCTGTCCTAAAACCATTGGATGTTCATGCATATCATTCGTTTAAATTCACTTGTTTATATCTGTCACTGGCTCATTTCGAGCATTAGCGTACTCCCGAACGTGAACACATTCCGTTTCAATTGCCTAAACATACTAGGCAATTCTGTGTGTGCATTTCGAATCTCACTGATTGTTTCGTTTTGTTTCCCTGACATACCAGGCTCACGGTTCGTGCAATTTTCTACCAAACGGGTACTAGTTCATGCATTTACTATTGTACTACACACATGCTTCGTGCGTTTACAACCCATGAACAGAACTTTGGTTTGTTACAATGACTGTTATTAAGCTATTATGTTCACCTATTGTGTATTGTCAAACGGGCACTGTTTGTTTCCCTGTCACACAACTATAATGGTGGGGCATAGCTCACAAACTGTTTCACATAAACCACACTGACCCCTACAGGTCACTCTCAAAATCTCACGTTAACCTTGCATTTGGATTAACCCCTTAAGGACCAAACTCTGGAATAAAAGGGAACCATGATATGTCACACATGTCATGTATCCTTCAGGGGTTAAAGGGTATTTTACCATACAATCAGCATTTCTGACCCCTACTGGTCAACAGCAAAACTGTCTTCACATGTCATATACAATTACCAGCCAATATAAATTACACATAAGATTGTTTTAAACATAACCATAAACCATGAATTAAACTCCAACACGGGCTCAACTTCAGGTTTAATTCACAATAATTTTCATTTCACATTAAGACTAACAGTGGTTCTATCAACACTGCCACCTACAGGTCTGCCAAGTACATTGACAATTTTCATGGGGTTTTTCATGGGGTTTTACAAACACCAAAACACTGACCCCTATAGGTCAACAGACAAACAACATTTCACATACCAATCAGTATCAACTACACTGCCACCTATAGGGCACTTGGCAGATCTCCAGTGCTCTTGCATTTTGCAACTCCATGTTCACTTGCCATTCAATAAGGCATACAACAATTCACATAGCAAGCAGTATATCAATATCTGTTATAAATACACATATTATTACACAGTAGCACACGCATCTGTATATACGTAACTGGTAATATGGTTCACTTACATACGGCACTTAATGGGTTAAGATTGATACATATTTAACCAGTATGGATATGATGTTTAATATTTACATATCACGGCACTTTACTTTCACATATACTGTATGTTTTAAGATAAGCTTGGTCTATGCCATATTTCCTTATGCCATACGATTTTATCCATTCAGGTTACAGTTACTACTAAAAAACCTATACGGATTGTCAGGTTCAATACCATACTACCAGGTACATACACCTGCTCACGTAGTTATCCATCTCTTACCTTCCCTGGAATAGTAATAGTGTACTGGCAATTAGGGTTCTAGGGCCCAATAGGTATTACCCCTTTTTTTCTCTGCATTATGCTTCGGTTAGTGGTCCCGCGAGGCCAACACCCCGCCTCACACTCTGAGGCATACACCCCTCGGGCCACTCGTGAGCTAGCTGCCTCGCATTGTATCATAGAGAGGGCCTCACCTGTCACTCCCCTTCCTATTTTTCTGGTTACTGTCACCGAGAGGCCAACATCCTGCCACAACGCTCGGTGGCCACAAAAAATCCCCTCGCGCCAAGCATAGATAGAGCCTCTCAAGCCACTTGGCAACTAGCAGGGCCTCACCAGTCACCAAAAAACACCAAGCCTAATCGTTTCGCCTTACGGCTTAGCTAGCACGCCAGTACAAGACCCCTGGGTACAAATAATAATTGCAATCTTTATTGTTATTTAAGTATTTCTCAAAAAGATGGTGAAGAATCACCTCTTCCTGGCACCCCGGCTAGAAGTGATACACCTTCAAGCAGAGGAGATGTGGCTCCGACCTAAGGAGGCGACAAATCCCCTACCCTGCCACAGCAAGGAAAGCAGAGTTATTCAAACTCCTCCATACATCAACGGACAACACGGAGGCAGGGGAAGGCCCAGCAACACCAACTCAGGTGACACCCAGGCCATGCTAGCCTCACTCATAAACTCATGAGCCAAAAAATTTACGACAGACTGGCAATCTCGAGTCAGTCACAGCCCTCACAAGGCTGGGCCTCACGCTACTGTACAACCAGCACCAACCGAAACTCGGTTACTTGGTACAAGACGTTAACCCTGCACATATGATCCCGGCACATTGGGGAAACAAGGCATATATATGTATGATGATGTATCTATGATGGTCAGACCCAGGGATTCTAGGTAAATCGGGAACTGACCATCCCTTGGTTGTGTTGGCATTTGGAATATGTAGAGATGCTTATTTGTGCAGGTACCCATACAGAAGGGATTTTCTCCCAAACAAACGGGCAAGCACTCTCAGGCTCCAGGTACCAGCACCTCTGAACTACCAGAGACAATTGGTATTAGTAGTTGCATTGCATATAGACTGTTGCATATATGTTTAAATCATTCAGAGCACATGACAAACCATGTGTCCCAATATAACTTACAAATAACATACTCACCATCTGTACACACCAATGCATTTTCAACACTACTGACTCATCACCCTTCCAGACTTGTAGTAGATTTATTAAGGCTCTGGAGCTTCAAAGGGCTCCCATACAGGTATCATAAATAAACTCTCAAGGAATATAGTATGCCCTCACTTACAGTCAGCACAACAGAACCTTCGGCTGTAAACACACTCCTAGCCAAGATTTGCAGAGGGGTTTTTACTTGGGTTTTCCAATCTCCACCATTTACAGCATGGCACCAAACACAAACGCATTGGTATTGTCACAAGGGAATGTTCCCTTAAACAAGACTAACCATAGACTTATTGGCACCACACAC